AACTTAGAATTAGAGCTTTTATCTTCTTTATTAATTTTATAATAATAGAAATAGATTAAAAACGTATAATAAGCGATTAAAGTTCGATTTATACTTAGAGCTAAGACTAAAATTCGATTTAACTTAGAAAAATCTAACTTTATAAATTTAATTTATAGGCCTTTACTTATTAGTATATATAATAGAATAAGATAGAGCTAAGCTTAAAAATCTTAAATTTATATATATAGTTAATTATAAATTTAGAGTTATTATACTCTTTAATTAGATCGACTAAGTTAGCCCGCTAGCTCTCTCGAGCTCCCTTATTAAAAATTTATATATAGAAGTTTTACACTTTAAAGTACTTAGCTTACGATATATATAGTTACTTTATAATTCCTCAAATTATAGAGCTTACTTTACGCTTTCTAACGCTATAAAAATTATAAAGTTTAGTCTACTATTAGTAAATTAAATAGATATTTAAATATAATAGTTATAGTAGTTATACTAGACGCGTTCGAAATCGAATAATAATCCTTTCATCTATTTATGTAATCATTTACGCTATTATTCTTTTATTACTCTATTAATTCTATTAATTTCATTAAACGCGTTAAAAGGCCCTCGAAAAGAGCTCGAATAGATACGTTCTCCTCTATATACTCCTCTTAAGTCAGCGATAGATGAATTAAACTAATATTTAAATATTATAATCACATCAAACGCGTTCGATTTAGATATATACACTCCTTTTACTCGCCTCTTAGAGTCTCTATTAACGTTCTTAAGCTATCTCTTAACAAATTCGCTACTACTAGTAATCGAGGCCGTAAGCGAGTCTAATAGCTATCTACTACTGCTTATAAACGCATTAGAAGACCCTTAAAAAGAGTTTAAACGAATACGTTCTCTTCTATATACTTCTCTTAAGCCAGCGATAAGTTAATTAAACCTCTATAGAAGAAATATTATAAGAGAAGAAACTATAATAGATAAATACGAAGAACACTGCGGGGAGAACACTGCGGAGAATACTACGGAGAAATTAAGTAATAATAAGATTATTATCGTTAAGAATACGACTTAGCTCTTTAAGATCCCACGTTATATACTCTTTACGATTTCATATTAAATTATTACTTAGTAAGCGAAGAATATTACTATAACTTACTCTATTATTTCTACTATATTAATATAGTATATTACTATAATAACGTTATAAGAGAAGAATTTACTACGACGATTATAGTTAATTAGATCTCTATAGAAGAAATATCGGACGATATATATTTAAACGAATTGAAATCGTCCGATATCTTACTCTAATAGCTATTTTATTATTCGAAAGATTTTACTACGATAGAAGATAATATGGGATTTACACCACTAATTAACATATTATCTTCATTTCTTTTCGATATTTCGATACTCTTTCTCTATTTTTTATAAGTAATTATTACGAATTAATTCTTTACACTTAATACACCTTTCTAATTAGGCCTTAGCGCGCCTCTCTTCGTATATATATATCTATATATAGGTTAAAAACGTATAGTAAGCGATTAGAGTTCGATTTAACTTAGAGCTAGAGCTAAAATTCGATTTAACTTAGAAAAATTCAACTTTATAAATTTAATTCATAGGTCTTTACTTATAAATATAAAAAGATAATTAATAAGTTTATAATTAAAGAGAATTAATAATAATAGATTTAATCTCGATAAAGAGATCTAAAATAATTTTAAAAGTAGATTTATTTATAAATAATTAATAAATTTAATTAGATAAAGATAGATTTATAGTATTTAAAAAAATTATAATAAAATAAAATAAAAGAAAGATAAAATAAAGAATTTAAGAGAAAAATAAATATAAAATTTTTAAAATTTATTTAATACGTTAAAATAAATATATAAATAAAGATAATTATAGAATTTTATTCTTATAAGATTTAAAGATTTAAAATTTAGAATATTTTTTTATATTATAATTTTAAAAAGAAGAATAAAGATATTTATAATTCTAATTATTATTCTAATTATTATTATTAATAAGAAGATAAATAGCTATATTAAATTACCCTTTATATTTTCTCTCTCTTAATAAAGAATAATATATATTTTTTATATTTTTTAATTAAATTATTCTATAAATATAGAAATTCTAATTAAAATATTTTATATATTAATATATATAAAAGAATAAGATAGAGTTAAGTTTAAAAATCTTAAATTTATATATATAGCTAATTATTAATTCGAGTTCTCTACGCTTTTTAATTAGATCGATTAACTTATCGCGGGTAAATAAATTAGCGTTCGTAATTATTAAAATCTCGCTCTCTTACGCCTCTCTTATTAAAAAAATAGATATATATTATTATTAATATATAAATTACTTTTTTATTTTCTATTAAAATTTTGAGTTTTTTTTTTTTATTTTAAAGCGCTATTTATGCTTTTCGAATTTTTAAGAATTTTAAAATTTAGTCTTATAATTATTAAAGCGTAAGAAATTCAAATATCGCTTATTAAAGTTCGCTCGACAGTCGAATAGCCCGCTTATTAAAGTTCGCTTATTAAAGATCGCTTATCTATTTACTCGATAGCCTTAATTAAAAAAAAGATTATAAATTTAATTTATAAATCTTTACTCGTATTTTATAATATAATATAATATTATAAATATATAAATAAAAACCTATAAATTAAATTTATAAAGTTAAATTTTTCTAAGTTAAATAAAATTTTAATCTTAATTCTAAGTTAAATTAAATTCTAATCGCTTACTATACGTTTTTAATTTATTTTTATTATTACGAAATTAATAAAGAAGATAAAAGCTTTAACTCTAAGTTAAATCGAACTTTACTTACTTTTTATATAATAAATAATTTACTTCTATTACTATAAATTACTAATTAATTATATTATTATTTAAAAAAGAAGTACTTAGTTAATAATCTTATTCTTAATATATTTTATCGATTAAGTAAATTATCTTCTTAGTAGATTATCTAAAATTATAATTAATAAATTAATATTATTAAAATTTAATTTAAGATTATATATAGTTAATTATAAATAAAGATTTTAAGATATAAATATAAATTAATTTATTATAATAACTAGCTCTAAGACTTATTAATTATTATATTAAAGATTAATTAAATTAGAAATTAGATACGTTAAAAAAAAGTATATAGATTATTTAAATTAGATAAAGCTAGAGAAATACGTAATATATAATATTATTTATTATTATATTTATTTTTAAGAATATAATAATTAAATATTTTAAATTTAATATATTTAATTTATAAATATATTTTATTATATAAATCTATACGCTATTTTAAATTTCTTAATAATATTATTATATAATTTTATTTTAACTTTAAATAATAAAATAAATACGAGATTAATTTAAAAATATTTATTATATTAGTAAATAAAAGAAAGCTATTTTTCTTATTAATAACTTAATTTCTATTATTATAAATAATCTTAATTTTAGAGAATTTATTAAAAACTTAATTATTAAATTAGATAATATTCTTATTAAGAGTATAAAGAATTATTTTAAATATATAAAAATTAGTTATTTAATATAGATTAAGATTATTATAAATAGTATTAATTAGCTAAATAATAGAGTTATCTAATAATTACTTAATAGATTAATTAATAATTTTTTATTCTTCGAAGCTTATTAAGATATTATTATTTATATTTAATAATTTCTAAATAAATTTCTTTATATTAATTTAATCTTAATTAATAAGATTAAGATTTTAAAACTTTATATTTTCTATAAATCTAAAAATTTAAATATAATTTTAAAAATAAGATATTTTTAATATAACTTAAGCGATATAATCTAACTTAATATTTTTAATAATTAAAAAAATTTAATAAAAATTATTATAGAAGTATATAATTATATTATTAAAAGAAGTAAATTTTTTTTTAAATATCTTAAAGTATATAATTAACGATTTTAATATTATAGCGATTTTATATAAAGATTTTATTTTAGAAAATAAGCTTAATTATCTTTAATAATTAAATTAAATTTTATTTTATTAATATATTATAATTAAACTAAATAATAATATTAAGAGAAATCTTAAAGTAAGAATAAGTAATAGTATTATTTTAAAAAAGAATAAAGATAATATTAAATAAAATTATAATAATAGCTATTTTAAAATTATTTTATATTTTTTATAATATAATATTTTAAAATATAATTTTATTAATATCTTTATAATTATTAAAAAAAAAGAATTAATTATTAAAATAAGAGATCGTATTTTAAATAGCGTTAGCTATAATAATTTAATTATTATTAAAATTTATTTATATTTAATTTTAGATATTAATTTAATAGCTATATACTTCGCGTAGAAATTAATTTTAATTATTAATATAATATTATTTATAATTTCGCTAGATTATAAATAGATTAAAATTAATAATAAAACTAATTACTGGTCGGAAAGATATGGTATGGTATGGTATATTGACCTGCCATACCATACTCGGTAAGGTATGGGATATTGAGATTTGCATGATCCCATACCTGGTATAATATGGGATCTTGGCGGGATATCCCACGGTATGGTATATCTGTGGTATCATACCATGGAATGGTATATGTATGGGATATCCCGACTGGGATTTCTATATTTAGAAGTATAAAGTAGCTATTCTAATCATCATTCTGGTCAACGGCTAATCGTATCTACCCCCATTCGATATACTACCATGGCTACCACTATCATGGCTGGCACTATCTTATCTACCACTACCATAGCTGCCACTATCATAACTATCACTACCATAGCTACTGTCGAAATGTGGCCCCCGCGCATCCCAGCCACCGTGTTCTTCAGCCACCTGATTTTGTACTGTATTTAGGACCTGGCCCCGGAGAGGTTTTGGAGAATCAATCCGTCCGTTCTACACATCACATACCTGATATTTTAACAGCTACCACTACCATGGCTATCACTATTTATTATTCAAATAGCCTACTATCATATGGTAGCTATGATAGTGCCAGTCATGGTAGTGGTAGTCATGGTAGTGCCAGCCATGGTAGTGCCAGCCGCCAGCTATGGTAGTGCCAGCCATGGTAGTGCCAGCCATGGTAGTGCCAGCCATGGTAGTGCCAGCCATGGTAGTGCCAGCCATGGTAGTGCCAGCCATGGTAGTGCCAGCCATGGTAGTGCCAGCCATGGTAGTGCCAGCCATGGTAGTGCCAGCCATGGTAGTGCCAGCCATGGTAGTGCCAGCCATGGTAGTGCCAGCCATGGTAGTGCCAGCCATGGTAGTGCCAGCCATGGTAGTGCCAGCCATGGTAGGCCAGCCGGGTAGCAGGTAGGCCAGAATGATGACTAGAATAGCTACTTATACTTCTAAATATAGAAATCCCAACGGGATATCCCATACATATACCATTCCATGATATGATACCACAGATATACCATACCGTGGTATATCCCGCCAAGATCCCGAACCCATACCAGAAAAATGGAATGGTATCCGACCCTACCCATACCATACCCGGGTACGGTATGGTATCACTTGGTATGGAATATCCCATGGGATATACCATACCTTTCCGGCCAGTAAAACTAATATTCTTAATAAAGCTAATATTATTTTCTTTTAAATAAATTTAAATTAAATAAAAATAGAAGTCTTCGGCGATAGTTTATTTATATTATTTATTATTTAATAGAAGAAGAATATAATATTAAATTTAAAGAATATAAATAAAATTATTAAATAATTTAAATAAAGAATAATAAATATTAATTAAGAAATATATATAAAGTATAAAAGAAAAATTAAATTATTTATAAATAAAAAAAGAAAAAAAATATCTAGCGCGAAAAGTTTTAATAATTAAAAAAGAAATACTATATAAAAAAATATTGCGATCTTTTAAAACTACTATTAGAACGATAATCTTTTTATTCTATAACTTAAAATACTTTAATTTATTAAAGAAATTATTTAAAAGAAATTTAATATAAAAAGTTTTAATATAAAAAAAAGAAATATTATATTAAAAAAAGTTATAATATTTTAATATTATTATTAACGCGATAAACTATTTATATTATATTTATATTTTTTCTATCTAATAATAAAAAAATTTATATATTTTAATTTATAATTATTCTATAGATTTAGAAAATTATCGAGTTTATATTATAATAGAATTATTATAAAGAGACTCTATAAGTAATATTCTCTCTTCTAAATCATTATTTTATTTAATATTTAATTTTATTTAATATTATTATAAAGTAAGTCTCTTATTATATAAATATTATAATAATAAAAAAAAAATATTATTATTTATTATATATAAGTCTTTAAAGAATATAGAATTTAATATATTTAAAAGAAGATATCGTAGATAGAAGAGTTTTCTAGCGTTTAAATTAATATAATATATTTTTATAATAATATCTTTATATCTCTAATATAAACTCTATTTAAATATATCTTATTTATTTATTTAATTAAATATATTACTTCGATAGATTAATATAGAAGAGATCTTCTACTTATCTTTATTATTAATATTATTAATTTAATTAAAAGAAGATTATTAGCTTAATCTAATATTTATATATTATATTAATTATCTAATTTAAATTATTATTATTATTAAATATTATATTATATTAATTTAAAAGATAAATAAATAATTATTCGATAAGAGAATTATAATTATATAATTTAAAATTTAAAATTCTTTAATAAACTTTTATAAAGCTTATTTATTATATATCTTAATACTTTTAAATTTTATTTATTTAATTTAAATCTATATTATTCTAATTTATATTATTTTTATACTCTATTTAAAAATTAGCTTAATCGCTATCTTTATAAATATATTTAAAAATATATTTATAGATTTTAATATTAACGTAAATCTTTATATTAATATAAGTATTATACTTAATTAATAAATAAAGATTATAAAATATTATCTAATAATTCTATTTAAATTTATTATTTAATATCTTAATAAATTTATATTAATAATATTTAAAATATTTAAAATTTAATTTAAAGATAATATAATTATTAAAGTTCTTCGAAAACTACTTATTATATATATTTTTATTTAAATTTTAATAAAATAAAATAATATTTATTTTATTAATAATATATTAATTATAATTCTTATAAAGTATATATCTAATAATAATCGTATAGAGATTAAAAAATAATTTTTAATTAGAATATAGTTTTTAATTAGAGATTTAAATATTAATTAGAGATCTTAATATTAATAATAACGATTATCTTAATAATATTAAAAAATTAATTTTTAGAATATAATATAATAAGAATATAAATATATAATAAATTTTATTTTTAAAATTCTATAATATAAATATAAATCGAAATTTAATTTATTATCTATAAAGTTAATTAAAATTAAAATTAATCGATATTTTAATTAATTATACTTCGCTTTTATAAAAATAAAGAAATTTCTTAAATAATATTATAGAGTTAATTAATAGCAATTATAACGTATAAAAAACTAAATAATATTAGAAATATCTTTATAGATTATTATTTATATTAATTATTTAATTAATATATTATTTAAAAAACTATTTTATTAAATAAAAAGAAAAAGAATTATTATATTATAATAGAGGATAAAAGAAATAAAAGTATATCTAATATCTTCTTCTTTAAAATATTATTTATAAGAATCTTTAGCTTTAATCTAAATACTTTAATAATTAAATTAAATTAATTAATAATATATTTATTAAATAGAAGATTTTTAATAATTTTAATTTATTTTAAATTATAGATAAAAGTTATAAAGAGATTTAATTAATTAAACTTAGTAAATAGAATAATAATATTCTAATAGAGTTATTTTATAAATTATAAGTCTTCTTAATAGAAAAAAATTATATATATTTATTTATTAATCTAATTACTTATTATAATTACTTAGTAAATATTAGCTTAAAAAATCTTCTAATTTATTTTTAATTAATAAAGTTTATTATTTTTAATAATTATATAAATATCGTAGATAAAATACTATAGTAGTTTATTATAATAAAGAAAATAATTAAATTTATTAAGATAATTCTATATTATATATTTATAAAAAGTTAATAATTAATAAAATAAAAGAAATAGACGAAATAAATCTATAATATAAAATAAGTATTATTTATATAAAGCTATCTCGACTAATAATTCCTCTAACTCGTAAAACGATTTCGCTATTTCTACTTCGCTAAATAAGAAAATTTCTATTTAATATATTATCTATATTATATATATTATTATATTATAGTTACTTATTAAATAAAAAAATAAAAGAATAATATAAAGATATATAAATTAGATATTAATTTAAAATACTAAATCTCTTACTACTTTAAATCTCTATTAATATATTTCTACTCTTAAATATATCTAATAAATTATTAATATTACGCCTTTAAATAATAGTAATCTTATTTAAAATAAGATAATTATAAATATATAAATTATAATATCGTAAATTCTTATAGAGTAACTTATAATCTTATATATTTAAATTAATTTTTAATCTTTTAAATATTAATATATAGAGATTAATACTTTTAAGAATTATAGTTATTTTATAATAAAGTATCTAATTAATATAATTATAATAGCTATATCTAATAAAATTAATATAAAAAATATAATTAAGAGAAAGTTATATTATATTATAAATTAATCTTAAATATTATTTATAATATAGATTTAATTAAAAATTAATTTTTCGCTCTTTAAAAACGCTAGAGTAAATATATAAATAATAATTACTTTTTAAATTTTATATATATAAAGAGTAATTAAATAATTAATAATAATTTATTATAAAATTATAAAGATTATATTATTATATTAAATACTATAGCGATAAAATTCTTTATAATTATTAGTGAAATTTAAGATCTCTAATATTAAAGAATAAAGAATTTAATTAATAGTATACTCGCTAGAGTTAATTAAATTATTTATACTTATTTTAATACTCTTATAATTCTATTCTATATTATTTACTTCTTAATTAATATCTATTTTAAATATTTTAATTTTAATTTTTTCGCTATTATAGTATTACTTAATTATCTTATCTTTTTATAATATTATATTATAACTATTATAAATTTAGTTTATAGAATCTAAATTATATTATATAAACTTTATAATATATAAGTAACGCGTGGTATAGCTAATAAGCTTTATTAAAGATTAAGTAAAATTTAAATAAGAGTTAAAAGATAGATTAAAAGAATATAAACTATTAAAAGAGTTATTATTAAAGAAATCTAATAATAAATCTTATAATAAAGAGTTTTTAATAGCGTCTTTCTCTTATTTAGAAGCTTCTTCTTAATAATATTTAAGATTTAATACGCGTTAAGAGACTTTAAAATAAAGTAATAAAGAATAAATTAAAAAGAAAAACGCGTTTTAAAAGATAATATTATTAAATTAAAAGATATTATCGCTAATTTAAAAGAAGTATATAAAGAAGAATATATTCGTTTAAGCTCTTTTAAAGAGTTTTTTAATACGTTTATAAGTAGTAATAAATAACTATTAAGCTCGCTTATAATCTTAATTATTAATAATAATAAATTCGTTAAAAAATAGTCTAAGGGTATTAATAAGAGATTTAAAAGATAAGGAAAAGAAATATATATCTTAGATACTTAGTAATATTTAAATAAGAGATATCGAGAGCGAATTTATTTATAATTAGTAGATTAATAGAATTATAGAAAAATATAATTATATAAATAGATAAAAGAATTATTAACTAATCTCGAATATATTTAATATAATTACGATATTTAAATATTAGTTTAACTTATTAATAGTAGATTAAACTTTATTATTTTTATAGCGTTAGAAAGCGTATATTAAACTCTATAATTTACGAAATTATAAAGAAATAGCATTTATAGAAAGCTAATTATTTTAGAGTATAAGACTTTTATATATAAATTTTTAATAAGAAAGCTTAAGAGAGTTAGCGAGCTAACTTAGTTAGTCTAATTAAAAGATATAATAACTTTAAATTAATAATTAACTATATATATAAATTTAAGATTTTCAAATTTAATTCTATCTTATTCTTTTATATATATTAATTATATTATAATATATAAGTTTAAGTCTATAAATTAAATTTATAATCTAGTTTTTTAAAGAAATAGTTCTTAATATTAAGTTATTCTATTAATCTATATAATCTATAAATATATATATATGAAGAGAGACGCGCTAAGATTTAATTAGAAAGGTATATTAAG